GGCAGGCGCGGCTCCTGGTCGCGCCCGCCTTTCGTTATCGTCAGTATTTGTCTTTTGAATCGCAGGTTATTATTTTTATTTTTTTTTTCCTCCTCCGGAGCCAGGTGGGGCTGGGTTAAATCCTGGCGATTCGCAAATGCAAAGGGCTAGTGAGCTGCTGCCCTCCCCCTTCCCTCGGCCCTGCGGCCCGGGGGTGGTGCCTGGACCCGCAGCACAGGGACCCCGCAGCCGCCTCCTCTGCGGGCTCCCTGGGGTGGCCCTGCCAGGGCAGCAGCTGGCCTTGCAGGGAGGACAGATGGCCCAGCCCTGGGAGCAAAGCCCCCAAGATCCCCCTGCAGAGCCCTGCTCCGCAGCCCAGCACACGCGGCTCCAGGGCCGGGAGCGACCGCTGGCCAGAGGCAAGCCAGCACCCAGCCATCGCCTTTGGGTCTCTGCTCCCAGCGGGCTCGCAAGGCTCAGATCCAGCAGCTCTGGGCAAGGAGATGGGTGCAGACAGAGCTGGCAGGGTATGGCCCCTAACCGCCACCCACCCGGCTCGCCTTTGTTCTTTTTTCACAGCACACCTTCAGGGGGATCGGAGAGTGCACAGCTGCCAAGGAATAACCGGGATGCTGCTTTTCCAGTGCTTTAGAAACCTCCTTCCGAAATGCCACCCAGCAGAAGGACTTGGGAACAGTTTCCTGCTTTTCAATTCCATGATTTCTTATTCCTCAGCCCTGATTTTTATGAGGAAGCATCTCCTAAACCAGCCCCCCACACTCTCAGGTGTCAGAGCCGCTCTGCACAGGATCTGAGGGGCTGCAACCTTACAGATGTATTTGTGTGCGAGTGTCGGTCTGGTTAGACCATGGCCAGCTTGCAAAGGCGCAGCCAGACCACGCATCCCCGTGCGCTGCTGGGACCAGCCTACAGCACCTACCACACCTGGAGCTTTCCCTTCATCCTCCGCGGTGGGAATTTCTCTCCTTCCCAGCTGTTCTGCGCTCCCAGGAGCGTTTTGGGAGGCCCACGCATGGCTGAAGGACGGGGCTTTGCAGAAAACAATTGGCTTCCATGAACACAAAAACCATGCCGCAAAACTGCAGCGGGCTCACCAAGCGATGCTCTTAACCAGGGGTCCTGGGCGAGGTGGTTGGACCCAGACTGAGCCAGCGGGCGTATGAACCACGGGGACCTCCGCATTTGTTCCACGCTGTCTCAGGCTGGTTAACTGAGCACACGGTGAGCTGCAACCTCCACCAGCCCTGCGTACGCCCACGCCGTGCAGGCTGCCGAGGGTCCCACCCGGGGACCCGGCCCCCCTGTGTCATCCCCACTGGGGGCTTGGCTCCACCGCCCCTGGCGCTCCTGGCTCCATCATCTCCACGTCCTCACCAAGAGCCTGAGAGAGGTCCCGTCGCCCTCATCCCACAGGGAGAGGTGTCCCAGGCTCCTAGGGGTTATCTGGGGCCATAACAGGGGGGACCAGCCCCATCTCCAGGATCGAGCTTGTGGGCTCCTCAGGGATTTAACCCGGAGCAGAGGGACCGGGTTCACCCCACAGGTCAAAAAAAGATGAGGACCCAACCGCCCCACAGCATCTCCTTGGCAACGGCTGGGCAAATCCGCTCAGCTCAACCCTCCCCGTCAGCTCCAAAGAATACCGGAGAAAGGCCAAACCCCCTGACGTAAAATCATGAAAATGGCTCTTGGCCAGGTGGAGTTCCGCGAAGAATCAATTCTAGATTAAAAAAGGTCAATATAGCATGTCAAGGCGCTTCCCTAGAAGGCGAGGAGATAACTTCATTCGCGAGCGGGTGGGAAAGGAGCCCAACATTTTGGCTTTTGCTCCGCTCATAACCTGCCACCCTCCAGACCCCACAACCCTTGGCTTTTATTTTTTTTTTTTTTTTTTGCAAGAAAAAACTCAGATGACCAAAATTACAGAGGAAATATTAGGAGGAAATTAAATCAGAAGCACGTTACCCATTCACGGGGATAGGAGGAAGCCGTGAAGATCCGTGCTTTGATCTGCACCTGGAGCTGCCACCAAGCCCTGGTGGGCCTCAGTTTCCCCAACACCCACGGCGATGCCGGAGCCTCATCCCAAATCCTGCATCCCTGCCCTCCAGGAGCCTGGGTACGGCTCCAGCCCCCATCCCGGCCCTTTGGGATGGAGACGGGAGAGGAACCTTCTCCCTCCGGGGCTCAGCCTCTGCTTCGCTGCCACCCCACATCCCACGGGGGGGTGACAGGAGGTGTCCCCCACGGCCACCGCGGTCACCACGGGGACACCCTGGCGCCCAGCTTTTGCACCGCGGCAGACGATCGCTCTGCCCGCCCAGGGGCTCCGGCAGCGGGGCCGAATCCGGCCTGGCCAAGCGCTCCGTCCCCGGGGCAGGAGGAGCCAGGTGGGATCGCGTCCCCGGCTACACAAAATCATCTCCTCCCACCAAAAAGGGGCGGTTTAAGTAAAAACTGCCTCTGTCCCTGTGCCAGAGAGAGATCTGTCTGCCAGGGGTACACACAGAACACATGAAAATAGGGATTTTTTTTCACTAAACCGATATTTTTACCCAAAAATGGCTATTTTTTACTCAAGAAAACCAACACAAGGATTGTGGGTTTTTATTTTTTTCCCTTTTTCTCCCCCCCCCCCAAAAAAAAAATCTGACACAGAAAGAAATCACACCACTGGCAACTCCTGCTCCCCTTCCGTGGCCGCCGGCAGGGAGGGACACACAGCGTGGGGCCGGCTACCTGCCCGGA